ATTTAATATAAAACAATATAACAAATAATAATATTCGTAAAAAATACTTCAATCAAAGATGACCTTATAAAAATGTTGAAGCTTATTAAATTCAAAATTTTAAGTGTTTGTAATAAATATTTTGTGAATTGTTACTAGTAAAACTTTTAATTTGTGCTAGTTAATATTAAATGTCTGAGCATTGAATAAATATATATAAAGAAATAATAAAGTATTTATCATATAATTTACATTATTTATAACTGCTTAATATGTATATATATATATATATATATATATATATATATATATATATATATATATATATATATATATATGTATGAGGATTTGATGAAATATAATGATAGAAACAATCATAAAAATAATATAATTTATTTGTTAGTGCCGCATCATGTAGGATTGTCCATATCATATATATATAATAAAATATTTTATAAGAGTAATAATGTACGAATCATAAGCGACTAGAACATTTAATACTAAAAATTAAATTACAAAATTAAATGTATATAAAATATATATATGAGCATATTATATATGAAAGAATCATTTAAATTCACCATTTATCATTTTATAGTTAGTAGGCATCCGTAGCAAACTTTCTTTACAAACTGTTACTTTTTGTAACAGTTTACTCTTTGTACCTGTTACTCTTTAAAGTCTCTAAGTTACAAGCTTCAAATCGCTAAATTTTTATTAGGCAGATAAATTCAACTGAAAATTTACAATGATCGAATAATGACATAAAAACAATTTTTTACAATACATTTATGTGTGCAAACTGGACAATCACAGAAAATTTTAAATTGCTTAAAAATATCTCTAAAGAGAATCAAAAAGGCAGGCTGTAAGGCTAAGTTCTCACTAGATAAAGATTTTTTTTTTTTAAGACAACTCACTTTTATATAGAAATTATACCCAATTTTCATGTTTGTACTGTATGATTTATTAAAAATGTAAAATTTTTAAAGATTAATAGATATTTATTACAAAAAAAGTTAAAAAACAAAACAAAGTATCATGTCGTTGGCCCCATGTTAAATTATAACGAATTACACATTCGTAATTTTCACATGTTGCCGACGTTATATGATTTTTTTCCTTGCTTTTAGTTTTTTTTTTATTTCTTTAATTTTTTTTTTATGGAAATTCAAAAAAAGTGAATATTCTCACTGCAGAAAATTTTAGTATTAAGGAAACTAAAATGAGTACATATACTCATTTATATAATTATATATAAAACTAAAATCTCAATTAATATGTAAATTAAATTTAAGACAAGGTTAATTTGAAAAATAGTTTTATTTGTAACCTTTGATTACAAATTAAAATATCTATTATATTGTAGACGGGTATATATTAGTGGTATAATAGCTCATTGTGGTGGTGTATATTTATTGAAATTTTGGAAAAAAACATGGAAGAAAATTATCAAAGAATACCAAAAAGGTATTAATGTAGTATTGCTTATTTGAAAACATATGACGCCTTTAAGTTTTATTAATAAGATACAGTTTTTTAAATAATAAAGTTTTTTTCGAATAAGGAAAGTATTTTTGTTTTGTGTTTTCATATCGATTTATGACTTTTATTACAAACTCTTATAGTAATTTCTAACAAATAAGAGTGGACTCTGAATGAACAGATTTTCTAATATTTCGAAGAGATATCAGATGTATATCAAGATCTTTTGAATATTGAAGGTGCAGAGTTTACATTACATCCGATTTTTTGAAAATCTAAGAAACTTATTATTTAAACAAAAATTGTTTTGTAGAGGCTTCCAGATGGATTTTTTCTACATACCCCGCCGATCTTAACCTCCTTCTCTTAACATCATGTGATATTGATTGACCAGTCGTTGTAAGCGGCTCTTTATTGTTCTTTTTCCCCCATGCGTTAGCATTCTGATCCTAGATCACTCCGGTTATCGTGCGGAGGATTTTTCTCAAATTTTCCAATAATTCTTTCTATGATACTGGTTAGAATCTAGATCTTACAATCCTATATCATCATATATAATACGTATTCCTTCTAAAAAGGTTTTCAAAGTATGTTTATATATATTTTTTTCTTTTGATTTTACATATATTGTAGATCTTTGGGTTTCAAATACATCCAATTTTTCTCGACAAACCTGTATATCTTATCTAATGTAATAAAACAAATATGTGCATACTTATCCATAAACAAATACCGCTTAGGAACTTTTAAAAGTCCTATCTATTTTTGGTCTTTATATCTTGGACGTCTTTTGTCCAGTGAGCAATTATTTAAAAAATAAATAAATTCATAATAATGATTAAATTTGATGCAAAGTAAATATTTTAATCAAATCAATTAAACTATATCAGTTTGAGCCTTATTTTATACAAATTTATTAAAATTTCAAATTCTGATTGTGCTGCATTTATATTAAAAGGCATTTAATATAAGTAATTTAAGTGCTTCTAAAAAAAGAATATGACTAATTAATGTTAGTAGGCTATATTCATGAAAAGACATGTATATATATTTATTATATATACCCTATATAATGTATAATGTATATATAATATTCTGTACAGCATTACCGCCTACGGTCATTCTAAGCCTGAAGCTCATTAGAATATGATGAATAAATTTGCATATTTTAAATTTTCCTCTAAACTTTCAACTTTTCGTACAAACATGAGAATATAATGAACTACTTTAAAAAGAAAAAAAAATAAAGCAATTTTCAGCCCTTAAATGTTTCTTACAGTAACATTTTAAATATTATATATAAAATATAAAACTAATAATTAAAGTCAAATGATTTGTGTGATGCTTTAAGGAGAAGTTGATTGTATATTATGGTCAACGAATAAAACATAATTAAGTGTTAAATACACAGACTTTACATCATCTAACAAAACTAAATGACTGGTGCAAATTTCGAAAAATTCGATACAATTAAGATAAATCCCAAAACGTTATTTTCAATCTTGGACATGAAGCTTGTCCTCCAATTTACCTTGACAATGCCTAAATTATTCAAAGTTCTTGGACTGACATTTGACTGAAGAATGACCCTAATACCAACAAAAAATACATCGTTAAATCACATGCTACGATTATCATACTTAATTCTCTCAAGATGCTGAGAATTAAATCTTAAACAGAAACTGAACTAGTTCAACCCATTCAGATTCACGCTTCACAGTTTACGGTATACGATACAGCCAAAACGACCAATATACGAACATTTTTATAACTATAACTAAAGCTGGATAACACTCTAATACAAGATATGCTGACAATTAATGTACCCGATAACAGACTTCGAAGGTTAAAAAGAAGCCGGATGAGTGATCTTCTCGCTTAAAAACCCATACTAAAATCAAGACAGATAGGTATGCCGCTAGGAACTCTTCTTCCTCAAGCCGATCAATGATAATATTCAAATTCTTACCGGCAGCAAACTCATTGATTCACAGGTGTGGGTTAAGAAATAAAGATATATATATATATATTACAATAGTACAATGTTTTTATAATTCGACCTTTATATATCTTAACTTAAGATATCAATTATAGTCAGATAATAGGTCATGAAATACACTTAAATAAGCTAAAACAACTCCTAAAATAAAAAGAATAAACAGAAGTTGTTTTAGCTCATTCAGGTGTATTTCATGACATATTATCCGACTGTAACTTATATCGTAAGTTAAATTATTATAAGTTAAGTTAAATAAATTATAATTTACACTAAATTTTCCGCCTACGTAATCGCCCTAATGAAGGCCTAAAAACCTGAATAAGGCTAAATTGATGTGGCTCATAAAAAATAAGTTTTACTAATCCATGTTTTTCTCACATCCTATTCTTACATCATAATCAACTTCTCCTTAAATTATGGTCAATTTTATATTTACTGGGAAAAAAAGTTAGAAATATGTTTTAGGAGCAGACAAATATTTGAAGATATGTAGCCAATTTTTTTCGTATTTTAGCTGATGGATTAAAAATTGAGCCTCTGTTTTAGTTTTTAATAAAAATAAAGCTACATTGGTCATATAATTAATACTAAATCCACAATAATTCTTTAATCGTATCATAAATAATTTATGTTTATACTAGCATTGGATGTTAGAAACAAATGTTTCTAAATACTTCAATTTATTACTATATCATGCAGAGAGTAGTTACTTATATTTAATACGACTAAGATGGGTATTTTAATTTTATGTTTTTGAATGCCCTTATCCCCTTAAACTTACATGTAGTCGGTTTCATTAATACTACAAATTTTAAATCAATGTGTACTGATTATGGTAATACATTTCTATTATGTAATGACAGTAATTCGATAAATTCATAATATTTTTGTAAAAATTCTTAGATAATATTCTGTATCAATATGAGTGTCCAATAGAAAAAGACAAGATAAACAAAATTACCTTTGTTTAGGAAGCTTAAAAATGACACGACAGACGTAATACATGGTTCATCACATTTATTAGTGGCAAAAATGATAGTTATTTTTCAAATATATATAAAATTGATTTCAATTTATATATATGAAATCTATATTTTTTTTTTCTAATTTGAAACATGAAATAAGCAATAAAAAAAATATATCGTTGTTACCATATAATAAATCACTTCCAAATAAATATAAAAAGTAAAATTAATTAAAATAAAAATTAAATGTTGTTTAAAGGATAGAAAAATGTCCAAATGTGCAATTTTTTAGCTTCCTCAATATTTTTACCTCTCAGACACATTTAACCTAGAAAATTTATTTAATAAAAAAAAATATATATTTAGTCTTATATGTTGTTAACATAAATATTATACTGCAATGATTAAATTTAAAAATCTTAAATATTCAGAAATATGATGAGTGAGAACATCTAATTTGTATTTATTTAGAATCTATTTTGGGATGGATTTTCTCAAAAATGTTACTAACCCTAAAACCGTAAGATTATTTTATATATATATATATTTATAGAGTGCTAGATGAAAAAAAAATACAATTATAAATGTTTATATATTAATACTATAATTAAATTAAATTATTTTTGTAAGCTGTCATAAAAAATTATTATTTAATTATGTTAGAACACCAATCGTTTGTCACGGAATAATGACTAATCAAGAATAGTATAAATTTAAAAATAAAATAAGTTTTTATTTAAAATGTCTGGCAATGGAAATATTTATTTTATTAAATCAATTTCAAACGTCAACACTTGTCATGCGTGTAACATTATGTTATCAATTGTGACAATCACTTGATATAATTAGCTATTATCCAGCTTCACCGACGATCTAATCAATATTTTGTTAAAAATATGTGTTACATCCTTATTTTAATAATTAATAGATAACTTTATAATAACTTTATCAATAATTTATTCATAACAATTGTTTAACAAAATGAAATATTTATTTTATTTTTTTTAGGTTCAAGAAGGTTAAAATTTCAAAGTGCGTTTTTAGATTTCAAGTGATAAAACTTTACTATTATATTGCCTTAATACACAGTTTTATTAATTTATCATATATATATTTTTTTTAATTTATCATTGGACCCTAAATCATAAAAAAACAGTCTTTCTTACACATTCATAAAAAAATGAATAGAAAATTGAAAATATTAATGATAAGAAATAGACAATGATATAAGTAGTATTTAAGTGGAATGCTGGTTAGATAATTCATAGAATGGAAGAGTGCTTTCTATTTGAAAAAGACAAAACATTTTTTTTTTACTTTTTGTAAATTTTATGTTTATCTATGCTATTTTATAAACAATAAATATATAGTAATATTGCGAAAATTACGGTTTAAATTCATGTAAGGATTTTGTCAACAACATTAATCCTTTAATTTGCTTAGTAGACAAAAATACTATGCTATAAGATTATAATGTAATGCATTTTTTTTTTAAATTTATTTTTATATTTTTGAGAGGTTATAATCTGGGACCTAAGTTTTAAGTACAATTGATATGTAAAAAGCGTTGTTAAATGGATGGCAACATTGGGAAGATGTTTTCAAAATCTTTTAGAGATAAGTAATATTCAAATATTTGTAAGCAAAAATACTAAATAATTAAACATAAGCAAATTTTATATATTTATTTTTAATTAAAATATAAAAAAGTTTTCAAAATTAATAAATATACTGATAAATGAAATTCCAATATCAATATTTGTCTTATAATAATAATACTAGCAAACATATATTTAAATATATTGTGCTGGTATTTTGTATTTTATCAAAAATCTGTAAGTTATATGTTTACTTATTTCTTTCATAAAATACAAAAGAAATAATTATGGTATAATTAAATCGATTCTTCAAAATTATATAAATTTTGAGGATCTTTCAAGTGTAATAAATAATATCTACATTGTTTAAAGATTATTGTTGGCAGTGGAGGATGTTTTGAATAAAATTGATAACAAAATAGTTTCTAATTTGTATACAGAATGAGTAACTTTTTTTTCAAATCCTAAAAGACATGCTTTTTGTTTGTTACCAATAGAATGATTGAATAATTTCTTAAAATTATATTTTTCATTTGTGCAAAAAAACGATGTGCGTTAGTTTGAAACTTGGAAATATGTAGAAAAAAAAATTTTGTCCATGGAAAATAATTTAGTTAGATCTTGATGTATGGTAAATGGAAAATGGTTAACATTTCAAAAATCTTTACTTTGGTTTTTATAGTTAATTATTAATACCACATAATGTTATGTCATTAAGTAGTGTATTACTTAATTGTGATGTTTCATCAGTAACATAGAAGATGAAAATTTCATAAAATATGTGATGAGTTTCATCCTCTAGCGAGTCCTATTGGTGTTTTTAGGTTTCATGAAAATAAAAACGAATATTTTATTATACCAAAGGAAGGTGTGCATAGTATGTTAATTTCGAAAAACTGTTTTATTAAGTATTAGTTAGGACAAAATAACAAAGTTATTTTGTTATTTATTATATATTATTTAACGACTCCTGTAGTTGTCTATTATGGCCCTGAACACTATTTAAATATTTTATTTATTAATTTTGATATTTTATTAAATATCATTGGCCAAAACGTCAACAATCTTAACAAGGCATACAAAAAAAAAAAATTGTATTTAATTATATTTTAATACTATGTAAAAAAAAAAATCATCTTTTTTCAGTTATAATACTAGAAAAATTAAATAGATCAAAATAAAATGAAGTTCTTTTATATTTTTAAAACCTAATGTTGTTGGTTTTTTTTTGTTTACTTTTTGTTGAGAGCAAAGTACCATTAATATTTAAAGGATAATCGGAATGGCATAAAAGTTAGCTGAAGCTGTTCACAAATATAGCCATCATCACAGCTCAGTTAATAAACAGCAGATATATATTTAAATAATTCGAAAGAACGCAGGACAATAATGACTGATTCGATTCAGCTCACTTCTCGTTAATGTCAAGATTGTTGTAATAACGCGATGCGATCAACTCCTTGGAAAGTTCTTGCGGGTGCGTCGTGAAGCTGTTGGCGTGCTCCCGGTGGAACCTATCGTCTCCTTTGTCGGACAGCTCTTCTTCCAGGATCCTCTCGAGATCTGATCTGGGAGTGGACACGGAAAGAGCTGGAGGAGACTTCAATGTGGGGGAGAAATGGACGGGAGTGATCTCCCCGTTGATCTCAGACTCTAGAATGTTCATCCTCTCCTCACTCCTGATCTTGCCGCTCTGCTTGGTCACGAGGTTGCCGGTCTCGACGTCGCGTACGAGGCGGTGACCAGAGCGCGATCTGGTGAGTTGTCTCGACACGTACTCAGCCAGGTCCTTCTCCTCCTTTCTCATTATCACCTTGTTCAAGATGATAAGAAAGATTCCGACGAGGAGAGAAGCCAAACCAGAGAGAATCAACTCGTTAAACCAGGTGAAACTATTCTGCCAATTATCGAAGTCGTCGGGTATGAAGCCCGAACCCATGAGGAAGAGTCCAAGAACTAGGAAGATGACGCCGATGTGGAGCATTCCGACGCTGGATACTACCTTGTCGCTCTGCGCAGGGCGCACGGAGCGGTAGTGCCTGTGCTTCTTGCGCTCAAGACTACCCATGCTGTTCCTCGGGCTTGCGCAAGACGATCTCGACTCGCCCAGGCCGGACTCGGTCGACTGCGAGCTGAACCTCCGCTCTCTCGCCTTCCTCTGTTCCTCTCTTCGTCGCCGCTGGCGCTTGATCGCCAGGGCGGAATGTAAGCCCATTGCGTGCATCCTGAAACAGTGTAATTATCAATAGATCTGCTTAAAATATTTCATTCCGTGCATGCAATACGAGTTATCCATATAGAAAAACATTATGCATGAAACTGGATACCAGAGGAGAGGAAAATCTATATCTAAGTATACGCAACTTCGTGGTTAGGATATATCTGAACTAATAAAAAATACACTATAATACTACAATAACTTTTATGATTAACAACAACTAATAGTTCACCTAATTAATTAAAAATTTATACTTCTTTAATAAAAAATTTACCAGAAAAAAGCCAGTTGTATGTTAGACAGTCCATCAAATGATTTACATTTAATATAAAAAAAAATGCCCCTTTTACTTCTCAAGGGAAAGAGACTTTTCTGAAATTTGTAATAAATCATATTATTATTTTTTATGAATGAATGAACATTTATGATCGAAATATATGTTCACACATTCACTCTTCAAAAAAATATGTTATCTACAGTTTATATTGACTATAGAAAAATTCCTCAGATGGAATCGGTTCAAAGTTGAAATGAAATAGAAGACTCTAACAAACGATCGAAACTACTTCATCCACTTCATTCAAATCTTCAATACTGAAACTGAAAGAGAAACTCATCGCAGATAAGTGGTGTAAAAAAGAATCTCTTACAAAAGTTTCAAACCTTGCAATCAAAATTAGTAACATAAAATGCTTAACAAATTCACCTTCGTATGTGACTCCTGAAACTCAACATAACAATTCTTTGTCAACGATTTCATAAAAATTTAAATGAAATCATACCAAAACATACCAAAAAAAAAAAGCCATATCTATAGCTAATATATCCCTGAATATGAAGAAGAGACTAAAAAGGCGATGAATGAGAGATCTCCTTAAAAAAACCAAAGTAATTGAATAAAACCAGGGAAGAGATATTATTGAGCAGTTTCCTTCCCCTTAGCTGACATATCAGTATTTTTGTATTGTCAGCTGATTTTGTGGTTGTCAAGACACAGATGGCAAGACCAAATAAATAAAATAAGAAATAATAATAATAATAATAATAATAATAATAATAACCCGTGAGGAGTTGCTAGTCTCCCATCGGGCGCCTCCCCAGGTGGCGGATAGGGGAAATCTCACCAGATATGGTGGGTATCGGGGAAATAAAATACCCGGGGTGGACCAAAACTAGCAAAATCCAGGTGCGACGGTTCCCATATTGGGCGGTGACCTGGTCAGCGTCTGTTCTCCATGTCAGGAGCGGCTGTTTAAATCACCTGGCAGGAAGGTATAAAATGCACCTACCCATTAAAAATGGAGCTACGAAATAGAAGATTAGCCTCGGACGAGCCCGATACTGAGGCTGCATCGGGCGGGAACAGTGGACAGCTTCCTTCAGGGACTAGTGGAGCGAGCGGCACTACCCTGTCGTCACGGACCGCAAGGCTGCAACGTTTACCGGCCAACAGTTCGAGTTCGAGCTTGGAGGAGAGACATTCTCCACCCGCGCGAGTTCGGCAACAGAGACCAAGAGGTGCAAAGAGGATGAAATGGACGCCAGAAATGAATATGGCTGTCATCCGAGCATACTACTTGGCAACAAAACTTGAAACAGAGAAAACAGGATATCTGAGCCGTATACAGAGATTCTGGCGTGAGTCCTTCCCAGATATTAATATAAGCACGCAGAGACTGAGTGATCAGGTAAGAGTAATACTTACGAGAAATTTTCTTACTTCTAATGACCTCCAACAACTTAAAAACGAAGTTCGTATGTTGATAGCCACTGAAAATGATGTCGAGCTCTCTGATGGAGCGCTAAATACAAGAATAGATTCAGACGCTGGTGTAATCAATGCCTCAGTCGGTAATAAAGATTCAGAGGAACAATCGGATGATGCGGATATAGAAAATAGATTGAGTCAATCACTTTTGACCGAACATATTCTACTTGAGGGAATACCGCTTCAGGAGCGACCATCGTTGCCACGAGTACCGTATAATAAGGCCACAATTAAAATAATCAATATAATGAATAATGTTCTTAAGGATAATATAGCCCTAATTAATGGCCTTCAAGATATCCCTCATTGGCTATATATTGCTGCCAAGATAGTTACATTAGAACTGGGCATAAAAATGGAAGATAAAAGTAAAAATAAACTTCCAACTGGATATATTGGAATACCACAGTGGAAGAGAAGACTTCAAAGGAAAATTGATACCTTACGTGGAAAAATTGGCGTCATCTTGAACTATATTCGTAACCCTCAAGCTGCAAGATCTAAGACAAAAAGGAAGATAGATGAGATTATAGTACAGAATTTGGGAACCGTAATGGAATGTGAGTTAATTGATAGTCTGACTCGATATCTAGATATTCTGAAACAAAAGCTGGCAGTTTACGCCAGCAGATTGCGCAGATATAGTGAGGCAGCTTTACGCAGGAAACAAAATCAGCTGTTCAAGCAGAATGAACGTCAGTTTTATAGAAACCTTGTAAAAGAAGAAAAAATATCGATCAAATACCCTGATGACATTGAAATCCATTGGAGAAATTTATGGGAAAAATCGGGGAATCACCTCGAGAGTTCTTGGATACAAGAAGAACTGCAAAGTCTTCAGAATGTCAATGGAATGATGGAAGTGACCATAACTGTGGAAGATGTTTCGGAAGCGGTCAGAAACATGAAAAATTGGAGGTCACCAGGACCTGACGGAATCCAAAATTACTGGATTAAAAGATTTCATTGCTTCCATGAATTGCTGGCCAAAGGTTACCAGGAAATACTTGAAGACAAACAGAGCCCTCCTGATGGTTTCTCTGATGGCATCACGTATATGCTTCCGAAAAAGAATGATTTAAACATGCGTCCTGAAGATTTTCGGCCGATAACGTGTTTAAATGGTCTGTATAAAATTCTAGCTTCCATCTTGGCAACTAAGATATATGAACACCTCGAAAGTGAGAATATAATACCCATAGAACAGCTCGGGTGCAAAAAAGGTGCTAGGGGTTGTAAAGAACTCCTAGTAATAGATTCGTTCATTGCAGCACAAGTTGCGAAAAAACAGCGAAACCTCTCTATGGCATGGATCGATTATAAAAAGGCCTTTGACTCGGTTCCCCACAGCTGGCTACTTAGAGTACTAGATATATACAAGGTTGAATCTAAAGTAAGCAGGCTCCTTTCAAACTTAATGACAGGTTGGAAAACTACGCTGAAAGTTGGAACTATCTGCACAGGGAATCAAATTAAAATATTGAGAGGAATATACCAAGGAGATTGTCTAAGCCCCTTATGGTTCTGTATGGCTTTGTTCCCACTAAGCAGGATTCTTCGAAAGAACAAGATGGGATACAAATTAATCATCAACGACGAAGCCACCACAGTCAGCCACAGCTGGTACATGGATGACCTTAAACTATATGCGAAAAACAAAGACCAATTACAAAGTATGGTTGAAGCCGTTTCATCTTTTAGTAGTGATATAGGCATGTCACTCGGTCTGGATAAATGTGCGGTGCTCCATGTAACCAAAGGAAAAGTGGTTAGTATGCAGAATATTCTAATCAATGAAAAAGAGTACATCAGGGAGCTTGAAGACAATAGGTTATATAAATATCTCGGAATGCAGCAACATCTTAAAATTGCAAGAAAAGATATGCAACAAGACCTTCTGACAATGTTCAAAATTAGATTGCGGAAAGTGCTCAAAACCCAGCTAACCGGGAAACAAAAAATCAAGGCTATTAACACCTGGGCAATACCTGCTCTCGGTTATAGTTTCGGCATATTGCACTGGTCAAACACCAGCCTACAGGAGATCGACCGCCTTGTGCGAACAACTCTCACACAAGAACGGGCCCACCATCCAATATCATCCAAAGCTCGTCTGTATTTGCCTAGGAAAGAAGGAGGACGTGGTTTGCTAAATATCGAAGAAGCTTGCCGCAAGCAGGAAGCGGCCCTACGCCGATACTTTCTTACAAAAACAACTGAGGTTTACCTCGCAATCTCAAGATTGGATTATGGTCTAACCGCACTTAACCTGAGCAATCGTGAGGTCTCTACAATCGTGTCAGAAAACGAACGCTTGGCAGAATGGAAAAATAAATCTCTGCATGGAAGATTCTACAGCAAATTAAATGATAGCTCGATTGACAAGGAAATATCCATTGAATGGCTGAAAGCTGGAAAGATATTCTCCGAGACAGAAGGATTTCTGCTCGCCATCCAAGACCAAGTTATTGCTACTAGATCATATAGAAGGCATGTTCTTAAAGACGCAACAACTACGGATAAATGTCGATTATGCTCAGCGACGCTGGAATCAATCCAACATATCACAGGTGGGTGTGGAGTGTTGGCTGGCACCGAGTATCTCCAGAGGCATAACAATGTGGCTAGAATTTTTCATCAGGCTCTGGCGGTGAAGTTCAACTTGTTAGATGACAAAACTCCATATTATAAGTACCACCCAAATAAACTCCTCCAAAAAGGTAGTCTCAAGCTCTACTGGGATGAATCGATAATAACTGACCATACTGTGCGTCACAATAAACCAGACATCCTTCTGATAGACATGAGAGAGAAAAGAGCAGAGCTTATTGATGTCGGGATCCCCAATGATAATAATATAAGCTCCACTGTTGGAGAAAAACTGAGAAAATACCAGGAACTGGCAATCGAACTGAAGGAATTATATCATTTGGGGAACGTCACCACCACTCCAATTATAATATCTTCCAATGGATTAATACCAAAGACAACAGTGGCAGGCACGATGGGATTAAAATTACCTCTTGAAGTGCTGAAAGAGGCTCAACACTCAGTTCTCTTGGATACGGCACGTATTGTTCGAAAGTTTTTAAATATCTAAAAAGTAATAGATATTAATCTGAAGTGGCTGGACTTCTGGTCTCCCACCTCAGAAACTTACCCCGCAAAGCGATAATAAAGAATGGAAATAATAATAATAATAATAATAATAATATATATATATATATATATATATATA